ATTAAAGACAAAGAGAGAATCCTAAAAGCAGCAAGAGATAAGCAACAGGTTACCTACAAAGGGAACCTCATAAGGCTCTCAGCTGACTTCTCACAAGAAACACTACAGGCCAGAAGAGAATGGCATGAAGTAATCAAAGTCATGAAAAACAAGAATCTGAATCCAAGACTACTCTACCCAGCAAGGCTATCATTCAAAATAGAAGATCAAATAAAGAGCTTCCCAGACAAAAAAAAAAGGCTAAGGGAATACATTAGCACCAAACCAGCACTGCAAGAAATGTTAAAAGGACTGCTGTAATTAGCAGTAGAAATGGGAAGAAAAATAGAACCACACTAAACAAAAATGGCAATAAATAAGTACATATCAATAATCACATTAAACGTAAATGGATTGAATGCTCCCATAAAAAGACACAGAGCAGCTGATTGGATAAGAAAGCATGACTCATCTATATGTTGTTTACAAGAGACCCACCTCTCAACAAAAGACTCACATAGGTTGAAAGTGAAGGGATGGAAAAAAATTTTCCAAGCAAATGGAAAGCAAAAAAAAGCTGGGGTAGCAATTCTCATATCTGATAAAATAGATTTCAAAATGAAGACCATAACTAGAGACAAAGAAGGCCACTATATAATATTGAAAGGATCTATGCAACAGGAAGATATAACTTTGGTAAACATATATGCACCTAATATAGGAGCACCAAAATATATCTAACATCTTCTGGAGGACTTCCAAGGAGAAATTTATAGCAATACAATCATAGCAGGGGATGTCAACACCTCTTTAACAGCACTGGATAGATCCTCTAGACAAAAAATTAGCAAGGAAACAGAGACTCTAAATGAAGCACTAGACCAAATGGATTTAATAGATAGCCACAGATAATTATACCCCAAAACTTCAGAATTTAAGTTCTACTCAAGTGCACATGGGACATTTTCAAAGATAGACCACATGATAGGACACAAAATAAATCTCTACAAATTCAAGAAGATTGAAATCATATCAAACATCTTCTCAGATTACAATGGCATGAAACTAAACATCAATTGCAACAAGAACATTCAAAGACATTTGAACACATGGAGGCTAAATAGCATGTTATTAAACAATGAATGGGTTACCGAGGAGATCAAGGAAGAAATTAAAAACTTCCAGGAAACCAATGAAAATGAACACACAACAACACAAAATCTATGGGATACAGCAAAACCAGTTCCAAGAGGGAAGTTCATAGCATTACAGGCCTACCTGAAGAAACAAGAAAAATTTCTAATTGACTGTCTAACCTCACAACTTAAAGAACTAGAAAGGAAACAAAAAGAAAACTCCAGAGCAAGTAGAAGGAAGAAAACAGTAAAGATCAGAGCAGAAATAAATGACATAGAGACCAAAAAGAAAATTCAAAGGATCAATGAAACAAAGAGCTGGTTTTTCAAAAAGATAAACAAGACTGATGGACCCTTAGCTAGACTCACCAAGAAACAAAGAGAGAGAACCCAAATACACAAAATCAGAAATGAAAGAGGAGAAGAAACAACTGACGCCACAGAAATACAAAAGATCATTAACAGCTACTATGAACAACTATATGGCAAAAAATTCGACAATCTAAGTGAAATGGACAAATTTCTAGAAACACATAGTCTTCCAAAACTGACTAAGAAGAGATAGAAAACTTGAACAGACCAATAACAACTAAGGAAATTGAAGAGGTAATCAAAACTGTCCCAGCAAACAAAAGCCCAGGCCGAATGGCTTCACAGGAAAGTATTAGCGAACATTCAAAAAAGAACTAATACCCATTCTCCTTAAACTATTTCAAAAAAGTCAAGAAGAAGGAAGATTTCCAAACTCATTCCATAAGGCCAGCATAATTCTAATTCCAAAACCAAAAAAAGACACTACAAATAAAGAAAACTATAGGCCAATATCCCTGATGAACATAGACACCAAAATCCTGAACAAAATACTAGAAAATTGAATCCAGCAATACATGAAAAAAATTATGCACCATGACCAAGTGAGATTCATTCTAGGGATGCAAGGCTGGTACAATATTCACAAATCAATAAATGTGATACACCACATAAACAAAATGAAGAATAAAAACCACATGATCATATCAATAGACACTGAAAAAGCATAAGACAAAATTCAGCATCCATTTCTCATAAAAACACTTAGCAATGTGGGAATAGAGGGATCATATCTCGACTTAAGAAAGGCCATATATAAAAGACCTACGGCCAACATCATACTCAATGGGCAGAAACCAAAAACTTTTCCATTAAAAACAGGAACAAGACAGGGATGTCCACTCTCACCACTCTTATTTAACATAGTACTGGAAGTCTTAGCCACAGCAGACATGAGAAAAAAATGAAAGGGGTCCATATTGGAAAGGAGGAAGTGAAACTGTCATTATTTGCAGATGACATGATATTATACATAGAAAACCCTAAAGACTCCATCAAAAATCTACTAGACTTAATAAATGAATTTGGCAAAGTAGCAGGATACAAAATTAACATCAAGAAATCAATAGCATTTGTATACACCAATGATGAACTCACAGAAAGAGAAACTGAAAAACAATCCCATTTACCATTGCGGTAAAAAAAATTACGATACCTAGGAATAAACTTAACCAAAGAAGTAAAGGACCTATTTGCAGAAAACTACAGGCCATTGAAAAAAGAAATAGAGGAAGATATAAAAAAGTGGAAGCACATACCTTGTTCATGGATTGGAAGAATTAACATAATTAAAATGTCCATACGACCCAAAGCAATCTATAGATTCAATGCAATTCCCATCAAAATACCAACGACATATTTCACAGAACTAGAGCAAATACTTCAAAAGTTCATATGGAACCAAAAAAGTCCTTGAATAGCCACAGCAATTTTGAAAAAGAAGGACAAAGTAGGTGGGATCACAATACCAGATATCAGGTTATACTAAAAATCCACTGTAATCAAAACAGCCAGGTACTGGCACAAGAACAGGCATATATACCAGTGGAAAAGAACTGAGAACCCAGAAATGGACCCAAGGCAATATGCTCAATTAATATTTGACAAAGGTGGCAAGAGCATACACTGGAGTAAAGACAGCTTCTTTAATAAATGGTGTTGGAAAAATTGGACAGCTACATGCAGAAAAATGAAACTAGACCATCAACTTCCACCCTACACAAGAATAAACTCAAAATGGACAAAAGCCTTAAATGTGACCTGTGAATCCATAAAAATTCTAGAAGAAATTGTAGGCAACAAAATTTCAGACATCATACGGAGCAGAATTTTCACTGATACATCAACTAAGGCAACAGAATCAAAGGAAAAAATGAACACATGGGACTACATCAAACTAAAAAGTTTCTGCACAGCAAAAGAAACAATTATCAAAATGGAAAGGAAACCCACTGTATGGGAGAACATCATTGCCAATGATATATCAGATAAGGGGTTAATTTCCAATATGTATAGAGTGCTCATACAACTCAACAAAAGGAAGATAAAGAACCGAATTAAAAAAATGGGAAGAGCAGCTGAATAGACACCTCTCCAAACAAGACATACAAATGGCTAAGAAACATATGAAGAAATGCTCAACATCACTAATCATCAGAGAGATGAAAATTAAAACAACAATGAGGTATCTGCTCACATCTGTCAGAATGGCCGCTATCATCAAATCATCCAACAAGTGTTGGTGAGGGTGTGGAGAAAAGGGGACTCTAATACACTGCTGGTGGGAATGCAGACTGGTGCATCCACTATGGAAAACCATAGGTGTTACCTCAAAAAATTAAAAATTGAACTTCCATTTGACCCAGTGATCCTGCTTCTAGGAATATACACTAAGAAGCCTGAAACACCAATCACGAAGAATATATGTACCCCCATGTTTGTAGTAGCACTATTTACAATAGCTAAGATCTGGAAACAGCCCAAGTGTCCATCAGTAGATGAATGGATAAAAAAGGAGTGGTACATATACACAATGGAGTAATATGCAGCTGTAAGAAAAAAAAGATCTCTTATCCTTTGAGACAACATGGAGGGACCTGGAAAGTATTATCCTAAGTGAAATAAGCCAAGCAGAAAAAGATAAATACCACAAGATCTCACTTATATATGGAATATAATGAACATAACAGTCTGAGGAATACTGTAGACCCAGAAACATGGAAGTAGGGCACAGACTGACATCCCTCAAAAGAGGGGGTGGGGGGGATGGGAAAAGATAAACCATAGAACTTATATGCATGTATGCATAACCAATGGACCTGGACAACAAAATTGGGGATGTGCCGGGAGGGATGAGGAGGGGGGTGCCAATGGGGTAAAAAAGGAGAAACATCTGTACCCCCAAAAAAGAAAAAATTAAATAAAATAAATAATACATAAATAAATAAATAATATACTGTTAAAAAATAAAGTGATTTGTATGTGTTTGATGATGGTGGTGGTGATGGTGATGACGCTGATGATGATGATGATGGGGATAATGATGATTAGCAATTGTAAAGCACCTAGCATCCTTTATCTCTTTGATCATCACCAGAAGATTCAATGTACACATTATTATTGCCTTTTACAGAAAAGAAAAAGAGAGCCTCAGAGATCATATTTTGTCAAGGTCACACAGCTACTGACTGATAGTGTGAAAATTTGAATGGATAGATTTGTCTGCATTCTAAACCTATGCTGATAACAACTGTATATATTAATTTTCTAAATGAATTTCAGAATCCTGTGGGATTCAAAAGGAAAAGAGAAAATGAAGAAAAATCATTCATCTTGGTAATAGGGAAGGTCTTACCAATAATTTTCTAATTCAGTATATCTCAGCATGAGGCAATGTTGGTTGTCACAACTGTGTATATGTGGAGGATGCTACACATTTCTAGTAAAAAACTAGGGGTACTGTTTAACATCCTACTGTTTAACAACACATGACAACCCACCAGAACAAATACTTACCTGGGTTCTTACTTGTCAATGGTGTTGAGCGTGGAGAAACTTCAGAAGCACTTGCCACTGTTTCCAAGTCAATATTCTCTGTTATTCTAGTATCCATAATGGGTGATAAAGATGCCTTGACTGGCTGGGTAGAAGTTCCCAGACTACTGACCATAACCAAGGATCCATCAGCAGTACTAATCTCTCTCCCAAGGGTGGTGTCTACTATATGAGGGGTGATTGGGGAGGAAGTAATACCACTAAGGGCTGGGGTGGTTGAGGAGTCAGTGGTAATGAAGGTTAAAGAGGGAAATGATGTTGAAGCAGATGGAGGTAGGCTTCTTGTAATGGTGGGTTTAGAAGCATATCCAGGGGCTAATTCTGTTCTAGAAAACTCACTAAGTGATGAGACAACTGAGCTGACACCTGGAAATTCTGTTGTGGCAAAGGAAGACATAGCGTCTGACAAAGGTGTCAATGTTTCAGTCACAAAAGTCTCAGCTGATGAGAGAATATCTCTATCACCGGTATGAGAACTCTTCAAAATATGAGTAGACTGAGAAGGTAGAAGAATTTCAGTGGGTGTAGCTGAGCTGAACTCCAAGTCCAGGCTGGTAAGCTTCAGGTCAGAAGTAAGAGGAAAAAGTGATACTTTCTCAGCTATTGTGGAGGTAAAAGACACAGGCATGGATGTGGAAACTGAACTCTCAAATAAGACAGATGCCGTCTCCATAGGATACATGAAAGAGGAAAACTCAGAATGGACTGGAACAGGGGAAAGTGTTTCCTGTCGAAAACTGGTGCCCACATTAGTCACAGCTCTGTGCATGGAAGGGTGAATTGATTCTGCATGTGTGGAGGCTCCAGCAGTGGCCAGTATCTCAACTGTGGTGTCGCTCACGTTAGGAGGTGAATGAGCTCTAGGGTCCAAGCTTGTGCCCGACATGTCTGTGGTCTTCACCAAGCCAGAAGTCTGAACTGAGGTGACTAGAGAAGGAGAGGAGGAGCCATTGTCATGTATTGTGGGAGGACTGGGAGACAACGCAGTTGTGATTGGAAGTGATTTCAGGGAAGAAGAGCTGCTGTTTTCCTCAAGGAGAGGACTGGTGCTTTCCATATCCTCAGGACCTCTGCTCACGTCAGTGATCACCTCTGAGTGTGTAAGAGTTTGAGTCCCATCCAAGTGAGTACTCTCCAAGGAGTCTGTTGTGGATGTGTCCAAGGGAGTTGTTTTCCGTGTTGTATCACCCTGGTGACTTGTTTGTGAGGAGAAGTTCATTTCTTTGTCTTCTGCAATGATGGGAGCTGTAGAGGGCCTGGGTGCTCCTATGGGTGTGTCTGGGGTCATCGTGGATTGTGGCAGGCCAGAATACAATGTCCCACTAGAGGAGATGTCTTTTCTCCCAGAGACGTCAGTAGACCCCCCAGTGGGTACTTGGGAGGTGGTGAATATTTCCGTGGCTGAGCTCATTGGCTGAGAGGTGCTGGTTCTCCTCAGATCAGGCATCATGGTGGAGGATGACTCTGTCTCAAACCCTGTTGTTGCTCTAGAGGCAGGCATTGGTATGGAAACAAGGGTTTTGGATATGATGGAAGAGGTAAGCACAGGAGAAGTGACTTCCGATGTCCCTGTGTTAGGTGGGACAAAGGAGCGTGTTTCTTGTCCAGAACTGGTGTTCCTCACACCATTGACAGTGGTGTTCCTGGCCAGGTGTGTTGCCTCTGTGTGTGGGTGTGCTTCAGAAGTGCCCAGTATCTCACCTGTGGTATCGCTCAGTTGTGGAGATGAATGGGCTCCGGGATCTAAGCTTGAGCCTAAGATGTCTGTGGTCTTTGCCAGGGCAGAGGTCCAAAGTGAGGCCGCTAAGGGAGAGGAGGAACCACTTCCAGGTATTGTAGGAGAAAGTGGAGATGGTGAGGATGGGCTAGGAACATATTCCAGGGTGGAGGAGTCGGTATGATCCACAAAGGAAGGACTTGTCCTTGACACATCCTCAAGACCTCTGCTCATGCGAGTCACCTCTCCTTGTGTTAAAAGTTGAGTCCCAGCCGAGTGAGTGACGTCCCAGGAGGATGTTGTTGATGTGCCCAAGGGATCTGTTCCCTGTGTTGCATCCTCCTGGTGACCTGCTTGTGTGGAGAAATTCATTTGTGAAGCTTCTGTCAGGATTAGGGATGGAGAGAGCCTGGGTGTTCCTGTGGCTGTGTCTGGTGTCATCGTGGAATGTGCTGGGGCAACATGGGATGTCCCGCTAGAGGAGATGCCTTCTGTCCTGGACACGTCAGTGGCACCATCAGTGGGCACTTGGGTAAAGACACTGATTTTCTCCGTGGCCGAAGTCATGTGCGTGGAGGTGCTGGTCTTCATCAGTCTAGGGGTCATAGAGGGTGCTGACTGTGTCTCAAACCGTGTAGATTCAGAAGAGGCAGGCATTGAAGTGGAGACTGAGGCTTCCCTCTCGATGGAAGTGGTAACCACTGGAGAAGTGACTCTGGATATTTCTGTGTCCGCTGGGACAGAGGAATGTGTTTCTTGTTCAGAACTGGTGCTCGCACTGGTCACAGCTGTGTGTTTGGAAAGGTGAATTGTTTCTGCATGTGTGGAGGCTCCAGTAGTGGCCAGTATCTCAACTGTGGTGTCGCTCACGTTAGGAGGCGAATGGGCTCTGGGGTCCAAGCTTGTGCCCGACATGTCTGTGGACTTCACCAAGCCAGAAGTATGAACTGAGGTGACTAGAGAAGGAGAGGAGGAGCCATTGTCATGTTTTATGGGAGGACCGGAAGACAAAGCATTTGTGATTGGAAGTGATTTCAGTGAAGAAGAGCTGCTGTTTTCCTCAAGGAAAGGACTGGTGCTTGCCACATCCTCAGGACCTCTGCTCATGTCAGTGGTCACCTCTGAGTGTGTAAGAGTTTGAGTCCCAGCCAAGTGAGTACTCTCCAAGGAGTCTGTGGTGGATGAGTCCAAGGGAGTTGTTTTCCGTGTTGTATCGCCCTGGTGACTTGTTTGTGAGGAGAGGTTCAGTTCTGCGTCTTCTGTAATGATGGGAGCTGTAGAGGGCCTGGGTGCTCCTATGGGTGTGTCTGGGGTCATCGTGGATTGTGGCAGGCCAGAATAGAAAGTCCCACTAGAGATGTCTTTTCTCCCAGAGACCTCAGTAGACCCCCGAGTGGGTACTTGGGAGGTGGTGAATGTTTCTGTGGCTGAGCTCATTGGCTGAGAGGTGCTGGTTCTCTTCAGATGAGGCATCATGGAGGAGGAGGATTCTGTCTCAAACCCTGTTGTTGCTCTGGAGGCAGGCATTGGTATGGAAACAAGGGTTTTGGATATGATGGAAGAGGTAAGCACAGGAGAAGTGACTTCCGATGTCCCTGTGTTAGGTGGGACAAAGGAGCGTGTTTCTTGTCCAGAACTGGTGTTCCTCACACCATTGACAGTGGTGTTGCTGGCCAGGTGTGTTGCCTCTGTGTGTGGGGGGGCTTCAGAAGTGGCCAGTATCTCAACTGTGGTATCGCTCAGTTGTGGAGATGAATGGGCTCCGGGATCTAAGCTTGAGCCTAACGTGTCTGTGGTCTTTGCCAGGGCAGAGGTCCAAAGTGAGGCCGCTAAGGGAGAGGAGGAACCACTTCCAGGTATTGTAGGAGAAAGTGGAGATGGTGAGGATGGGCTAGGAACATATTCCAGGGTGGAGGAGTCGGTATGATCCACAAAGGAAGGACTTGTCCTTGACACATCCTCAAGACCTCTGCTCATGCGAGTCACCTCTGCTTGTGTTAAAAGTTGAGTCCCAGCCGAGTGAGTGACGTCCCAGGAGGATGTTGTTGATGTGCCCAAGGGATCTGTTCCCTGTGTTGCATCCTCCTGGTGACCTGCTTGTGTGGAGAAATTCATTTGTGAAGCTTCTGTCAGGATTAGGGATGGAGAGAGCCCGGGTGTTCCTGTAGCTGTGTCTGGTGTCATCGTGGAATGTGCTGGGGCAACATGGGATGTCCCGCTAGAGGAGATGCCTTCTGTCCTGGACACGTCAGTGGCACCATCAGTGGGCACTTGGGTAAAGACACTGATTTTCTCCGTGGCCGAAGTCATGTGCGTGGAGGTGCTGGTTTTCATCAGTCTAGGTGTCATAGAGGGTGCTGACTGTGTCTCAAACGGTGTAGATTCAGAAGAGGCAGTCATTGAAGTGGAGACTGAGGCTTCCCTCTCGATGGAAGTGGGAACCATTGGAGAAGTTACTCTGGATAGTTCTGTGTCCGCTGGGACAGAGGAATGTGTTTCTTGTTCAGAACTGGTGCTCGCACTGGTCACAGCTGTGTGTTTGGAAAGGTGAATTGTTTCTGCATGTGTGGAGGCTCCAGTAGTGGCCAGTATCTCAACTGTGGTGTCGCTCACGTTAGGAGGCGAATGGGCTCTAGGGTCCAAGCTTGTGCCCGACATGTCTGTGGACTTCACCAAGCCAGAAGTCTGAACTGAGGTGACTAGAGAAGGAGAGGAGGAGCCATTGTCATGTTTTATGGGAGGACCGGAAGACAAAGCATTTGTGATTGGAAGTGATTTCAAGGAAGAAGAGCTGCTGTTTTCCTCAAGGAGAGGACTGGTGCTTTCCACATCCTCAGGACCTTTGCTCACATCAGTGATCACCTCTGAGTGTGTAAGAGTTTGAGTCCCAGCCAAGTGAGTACTCTCCAAGGAGTCTGTTGTGGATGAGTCCAAGAGAGTTGTTTTCCATGTTGTATCGCCCTGGTGACTTGTTTGTGAGGAGAAGTTCAGTTCTGCGTCTTCTGTAACAATGGGAGCTGTAGAGGGTCTGGGTGCTCCTATGGGTGTGTCTGGGGTCATCGTGGATTGTGGCAGGCCAGAATAGAAAGTCCCACTAGAGATGTCTTTTCTCCCAGAGACGTCAGTAGACCCCCCAGTGGGTACTTGGGAGGTGGTGAATGTTTCTGTGGCTGAGATCATTGGCTGAGAGGTGCTGGTTCTCCTCAGATCAGGCATCATGGAGGAGGATGACTCTGTCTCAAACCCTGTTGTTGCTCTGGAGGCAGGCATTGGTATGGAAACAAGGGTTTTGGATATGATGGAGGAGGTAAGCACAGGAGAAGTGACTTCCGATGTCCCTGTGTTAGGTGGGACAAAGGACCGTGTTTCTTGTCCAGAACTGGTGTTCCTCACACCATTGACAGTGGTGTTCCTGGCCAGGTGTGTTGCCTCCGTGTGTGGGTGTGCTTCAGAAGTGCCCAGGATCTCACCTGTGGTATCGCTCAGTTGTGGAGATGAATGGGCTCCGGGATCTAAGCTTGAGCCTAACGTGTCTGTGGTCTTTGCCAGGGCAGAGGTCCAAAGTGAGGCCGCTAAGGGAGAGGAGGAACCACTTCCAGGTATTGTAGGAGAAAGTGGAGATGGTGAGGATGGGCTAGGAACATATTCCAGGGTGGAGGAGTCGGTATGATCCACAAAGGAAGGACTTGTCCTTGACACATCCTCAAGACCTCTGCTCATGCGAGTCACCTCTGCTTGTGTTAAAAGTTGAGTCCCAGCCGAGTGAGTGACGTCCCAGGAGGATGTTCTTGATGTGCCCAAGGGATCTGTTCCCTGTGTTGCATCCTCCTGGTGACCTGCTTGTGTGGAGAAATTCATTTGTGAAGCTTCTGTCAGGATTAGGGATGGAGAGAGCCCGGGTGTTCCTGTGGCTGTGTCTGGTGTCATCGTGGAATGTGCTGGGGCAACATGGGATGTCCCGCTAGAGGAGATGCCTTCTGTCCTGGACACGTCAGTGGCACCATCAGTGGGCACTTGGGTAAAGACACTGATTTTCTCCGTGGCCGAAGTCATGTGCGTGGAGGTGCTGGTCTTCATCAGTCTAGGTGTCATAGAGGGTGCTGACTGTGTCTCAAACGGTGTAGATTCAGAAGAGGCAGTCATTGAAGTGGAGACTGAGGCTTCCCTCTCGATGGAAGTGGGAACCATTGGAGAAGTGACTCTGGATAGTTCTGTGTCCGCTGGGACAGAGGAATGTGTTTCTTGTTCAGAACTGGTGCTCGCACTGGTCACAGCTGTGTGTTTGGAAAGGTGAATTGTTTCTGCATGTGTGGAGGCTCCAGTAGTGGCCAGTATCTCAACTGTGGTGTCGCTCACGTTAGGAGGCGAATGGGCTCTAGGGTCCAAGCTTGTGCCCGACATGTCTGTGGACTTCACCAAGCCAGAAGTCTGAACTGAGGTGACTAGAGAAGGAGAGGAGGAGCCATTGTCATGTTTTATGGGAGGACCGGAAGACAAAGCATTTGTGATTGGAAGTGATTTCAAGGAAGAAGAGCTGCTGTTCTCCTCAAGGAGAGGACTGGTGCTTTCCACATCCTCAGGACCTTTGCTCACGTCAGTGATCACCTCTGAGTGTGTAAGAGTTTGAGTCCCAGCCAAGTGAGTACTCTCCAAGGAGTCTGTTGTGGATGAGTCCAAGAGAGTTGTTTTCCATGTTGTATCGCCCTGGTGACTTGTTTGTGAGGAGAAGTTCAGTTCTGCGTCTTCTGTAACAATGGGAGCTGTAGTGGTTCTGGGTGCTCCTATGGGTGTGTCTGGGGTCATCGTGGATTGTGGCAGGCCAGAATAGAAAGTCCCACTAGAGATGTCTTTTCTCCCAGAGACGTCAGTAGACCCCCCAGTGGGTACTTGGGAGGTGGTGAATGTTTCTGTGGCTGAGCTCATTGGCTGAGAGGTGCTGGTTCTCCTCAGATCAGGCATCATGGAGGAGGATGACTCTGTCTCAAACCCTGTTGTTGCTCTGGAGGCAGGCATTGGTATGGAAACAAGGGTTTTGGATATGATGGAAGAGGTAAGCACAGGAGAAGTGACTTCCGATGTCCCTGTGTTAGGTGGGACAAAGGACCGTGTTTCTTGTCCAGAACTGGTGTTCCTCACACCATTGACAGTGGTGTTCCTGGCCAGGTGTGTTGCCTCTGTGTGTGGGTGTGCTTCAGAAGTGCCCAGGATCTCACCTGTGGTATCGCTCAGTTGTGGAGATGAATGGGCTCCGGGATCTAAGCTTGAGCCTAACGTGTCTGTGGTCTTTGCCAGGGCAGAGGTCCAAAGTGAGGCCGCTAAGGGAGAGGAGGAACCACTTCCAGGTATTGTAGGAGAAAGTGGAGATGGTGAGGATGGGCTAGGAACATATTCCAGGGTGGAGGAGTTGGTATGATCCACAAAGGAAGGACTTGTCCTTGACACATCCTCAAGACCTCTGCTCATGCGAGTCACCTCTGCTTGTGTTAAAAGTTGAGTCCCAGCCGAGAGAGTGACGTCCCAGGAGGATGTTCTTGATGTGCCCAAGGGATCTGTTCCCTGTGTTGCATCCTCCTGGTGACCTGCTTGTGTGGAGAAATTCATTTGTGAAGCTTCTGTCAGGATTAGGGATGGAGAGAGCCCGGGTGTTCCTGTGGCTGTGTCTGGTGTCATCGTGGAATGTGCTGGGGCAACATGGGATGTCCCGCTAGAGGAGATGCCTTCTGTCCTGGACACGTCAGTGGCACCATCAGTGGGCACTTGGGTAAAGACACTGATTTTCTCTGTGGCCGAAGTCATGTACGTGGAGGTGCTGGTCTTCATCAGTCTAGGGGTCATAGAGGGTGCTGACTGTGTCTCAAACGGTGTAGATTCAGAAGAGGCAGTCATTGAAGTGGAGACTGAGGCTTCCCTCTCGATGGAAGTGGTAACCACTGGAGAAGTGACTCTGGATAGTTCTGTGTCTGCTGGGACAGAGGAATGTGTTTCTTGTTCAGAACTGGTGCTCGCACTGGTCACAGCTGTGTGTTTGGAATGGTGAATTGTTTCTGCATGTGTGGAGGCTCCAGTAGTGGCCAGTATCTCAACTGTGGTGTCGCTCACGTTAGGAGGCGAATGGGCTCTAGGGTCCAAGCTTGTGCCCGACATGTCTGTGGACTTCACCAAGCCAGAAATCTGAACTGAGGTGACTAGAGATGGAGAGGAGGAGCCATTGTCATGTTTTATGGGAGGACCGGAAGACAAAGCATTTGTGATTGGAAGTGATTTCAAGGAAGAAGAGCTGCTGTTTTCCTCAAGGAGAGGACTGGTGCTTGCCACATCCTCAGGACCTTTGCTCACATCAGTGATCACCTCTGAGTGTGTAAGAGTTTGAGTCCCAGCCAAGTGAGTACTCTCCAAGGAGTCTGTTGTGGATGAGTCCAAGAGAGTTGTTTTCCATGTTGTATCGCCCTGGTGACTTGTTTGTGAGGAGAAGTTCAGTTCTGCGTCTTCTGTAACAATGGGAGCTGTAGAGGGTCTGGGTGCTCCTATGGGTGTGTCTGGGGTCATCGTGGATTGTGGCAGGCCAGAATAGAAAGTCCCACTAGAGATGTCTTTTCTCCCAGAGACGTCAGTAGACCCCCCAGTGGGTACTTGGGAGGTGGTGAATGTTTCTGTGGCTGAGCTCATTGGCTGAGAGGTGCTGGTTCTCCTCAGATCAGGCATCATGGAGGAGGATGACTCTGTCTCAAACCCTGTTGTTGCTCTAGAGGCAGGCATTGGTATGGAAACAAGGGTTTTGGATATGATGGAAGAGGTAAGCACAGGAGAAGTGACTTCCGATGTCCCTGTGTTAGGTGGGACAAAGGACCGTGTTTCTTGTCCAGAACTGGTGTTCCTCACACCATTGACAGTGGTGTTCCTGGCCAGGTGTGTTGCCTCTGTGTGTGGGTGTGCTTCAGAAGTGCCCAGTATCTCACCTGTGGTATCGCTCAGTTGTGGAGATGAATGGGCTCCGGGATCTAAGCTTGAGCCTAACGTGTCTGTGGTCTTTGCCAGGGCAGAGGTCCAAAGTGAGGCCGCTAAGGGAGAGGAGGAACCACTTCCAGGTATTGTAGGAGAAAGTGGAGATGGTGAGGATGGGCTAGGAACATATTCCAGGGTGGAGGAGTCGGTATGATCCACAAAGGAAGGACTTGTCCTTGACACATCCTCAAGACCTCTGCTCATGCGAGTCACCTCTGCTTGTGTTAAAAGTTGAGTCCCAGCCGAGAGAGTGACGTCCCAGGAGGATGTTGTTGATGTGCCCAAGGGATCTGTTCCCTGTGTTGCATCCTCCTGGTGACCTGCTTGTGTGGAGAAATTCATTTGTGAAGCTTCTGTCAGGATTAGGGATGGAGAGAGCCCGGGTGTTCCTGTGGCTGTGTCTGGTGTCATCGTGGAATGTGCTGGGGCAACATGGGATGTCCCGCTAGAGGAGATGTCTTCTGTCCTGGACACGTCAGTGGCACCATCAGTGGGCACTTGGGTAAAGACACTGATTTTCTCCGTGGCCGAAGTCATGTGCGTGGAGGTGCTGGTCTTCATCAGTCTAGGGGTCATAGAGGGTGCTGACTGTTTCTCAAACCGTGTAGATTCAGAAGAGGCAGGCATTGATGTGGAGACTGAGGCTTCCCTCTTGATGGAAGTGGTAACCACTGGAGAAGTGACTCTGGATATTTCTGTGTCCGCTGGGACAGAGGAATGTGTTTCTTGTTCAGAACTGGTGCTCACACTGGTCACAGCTGTGTGTTTGGAAAGGTGAATTGTTTCTGCATGTGTGGAGGCTCGAACAGTGGCCAGTATCTCAACTGTGGTGTCGCTCACGTTAGGAGGCGAATGGGCTCTAGGGTCCAAGCTTGTGCCCGACATGTCTGTGGTCTTCACCAAGCCAGAAGTCTGAACTGAGGTGACTAGAGAAGGAGAGGAGGAGCCATTGTCATGTATTGCGGGAGGACCGGGAGACAACTCAGTTGTGATTGGAAGTGATTTCAAGGAAGAAGAGCTGCTGTTTTCCTCAAGGAGAGGACTGGTGCTTGCCACATCCTCAGGACCTCTGCTCACGTCAGTGGTCACCTCTGAGTGTGTAAGAGTTTGAGTCCCAGCCAAGTGAGTACTCTCCAAGGAGTCTGTGGTGGATGAGTCCAAGGGAGTTGTTTTCCGTGTTGTATCGCCCTGGTGACTTGTTTGTGAGGAGAGGTTCAGTTCTGCGTCTTCTGTAATGATGGGAGCTGTAGAGGGCCTGGGTGCTCCTATGGGTGTGTCTGGGGTCATCGTGGATTGTGGCAGGCCAGAATAGAAAGTCCCACTAGAGATGTCTTTTCTCCCAGAGACGTCAGTAGACCCCCCAGTGGGTACTTGGGAGGTGGTGAATGTTTCTGTGGCTGAGCTCATTGGCTGAGAGGTGCTGGTTCTCTTCAGATGAGGCATCATGGAGGAGGAGGACTCTGTCTCAAACCCTGTTGTTGCTCTGGAGGCAGGCATTGGTATGGAAACAAGGGTTTTGGATATGATGGAAGAGGTAAGCACAGGAGAAGTGACTTCCGATGTCCCTGTGTTAGGTGGCACAAAGGAGCGTGTTTCTTGTCCAGAACTGGTGTTCCTCACAACATTGACAGTGGTGTTGCTGGCCAGGTGTGTTGCCTCTGTGTGTGTGGGGGCTTCAGAAGTGGCCAGTATCTCAACTGTGGTATCGCTCAGTTGTGGAGATGAATGGGCTCCGGGATCTAAGCTTGAGCCTAACGTGTCTGTGGTCTTTGCCAGGGCAGAGGTCCAAAGTGAGGCCGCTAAGGGAGAGGAGGAACCACTTCCAGGTATTGTAGGAGAAAGTGGAGATGGTGAGGATGGGCTAGGAATATATTCCAGGGTGGAGGAGTCGGTATGATCCACAAAGGAAGGACTTGTCCTTGACACATCCTCAAGACCTCTGCTCATGCGAGTCACTTCTGCTTGTGTTAAAAGTTGAGTCCCAGCCGAGTGAGTGATGTCCCAGGAGGATATTGTTGATGTGCCCAAGGGATCTGTTCCCTGTGTTGCATCCTCCTGGTGACCTGCTTGTGTGGAGAAATTCATTTGTGAAGCTTCTGTCAGGATTAGGGATGGAGAGAGCCCGGGTGTTCCTGTGGCTGTGTCTGGTGTCATCGTGGAATGTGCTGGGGCAACATGGGATGTCCCGCTAGAGGAGATGCCTTCTGTCCTGGACACGTCAGTGGCACCATCAGTGGGCACTTGGGTAAAGACACTGATTTTCTCCGTGGCCGAAGTCATGTGCGTGGAGGTGCTGGTCTTCATCAGTCTAGGGGTCATAGAGGGTGCTGTCTGCGTCTCAAACTGTGTAGATTCAGAAGAGGCAGGCATTGATGTGGAGACTGAGGCTTCCCTCTCGATGGAAGTGGGAACCATTGGAGAAGTTACTCTGGATAGTTCTGTGTCCGCTGGGACAGAGGAATGTGTTTCTTGTTCAGAACTGGTGCTCGCACTGGTCACAGCTGTGTGTTTGGAAAGGTGAATTGTTTCTGCATGTGTGGAGGCTCCAGTAGTGGCCAGTATCTCAACTGTGGTGTCGCTCACGTTAGGAGGCGAATGGGCTCTAGGGTCCAAGCTTGTGCCCGACATGTCTGTGGTCTTCACCAAGCCAGAAGTCTGAACTGAGGTGACTAGAGAAGGAGAGGAGGAGCCATTGTCATGTATTGCGGGAGGACCGGGAGACAATGCAGTTGTGATTGGAAGTGATTTCAGGGAAGAAGAGCTGCTGTTTTCCTCAAGGAGAGGACTGGTGCTTGCCACATCCTCAGGACCTCTGCTCACGTCAGTGGTCACCTCTGAGTGTGTAAGAGTTTGAGTCCCAGCCAAGTGAGTACTCTCCAAGGAGTCTGTGGTGGATGAGTCCAAGGGAGTTGTTTTCCGTGTTGTATCGCCCTGGTGACTTGTTTGTGAGGAGAGGTTCAGTTCTGCGTCTTCTGTAATGATGGGAGCTGTAGAGGGCCTGGGTGCTCCTATGGGTGTGTCTGGGGTCATCGTGGATTGTGGCAGGCCAGAATAGAAAGTCCCACTAGAGATGTCTTTTCTCCCAGAGACGTCAGTAGACCCCCCAGTGGGTACTTGGGAGGTGGTGAATGTTTCTGTGGCTGAGCTCATTGGCTGAGAGGTGCTGGTTCTCTTCAGATGAGGCATCATGGAGGAGGAGGATTCTGTCTCAAACCCTGTTGTTGCTCTGGAGGCAGGCATTGGTATGGAAACAAGGGTTTTGGATATGATGGAAGAGGTAAGCACAGGAGAAGTGACTTCCGATGTCCCTGTGTTAGGTGGCACAAAGGAGCGTGTTTCTTGTCCAGAACTGGTGTTCCTCACAACATTGACAGTGGTGTTGCTGGCCAGGTGTGTTGCCTCTGTGTGTGTGGGGGCTTCAGAAGTGGCCAGTATCTCAACTGTGGTATCGCTCAGTTGTGGAGATGAATGGGCTCCGGGATCTAAGCTTGAGCCCAACGTGTCTGTGGTCTTTGCCAGGGCAGAGGTCCAAAGTGAGGCCGCTAAGGGAGAGGAGGAACCACTTCCAGGTATTGTAGGAGAAAGTGGAGATGGTGAGGATGGGCTAGGAATATATTCCAGGGTGGAGGAGTCGGTATGATCCACAAAGGAAGGACTTGTCCTTGACACATCCTCAAGACCTCTGCTCATGCGAGTCACCTCTGCTTGTGTTAAAAGTTGAGTCCCAGCCGAGTGAGTGACGTCCCAGGAGGATGTTGTTGATGTGCCCAAGGGATCTGTTCCCTGTGTTGCATCCTCCTGGTGACCTGCTTGTGTGGAGAAATTCATTTGTGAAGCTTCTGTCAGGATTAGGGATGGAGAGAGCCCGGGTGTTCCTGTGGCTGTGTCTGGTGTCATCGTGGAATGTGCTGGGGCAACATGGGATGTCCCGCTAGAGGAGATGTCTTCTGTCCTGGACACGTCAGTGGCACCATCAGTGGGCACTTGGGTAAAGACACTGATTTTCTCCGTGGCCGAAGTCATGTGCGTGGAGGTGCTGGTCTTCATCAGTCTAGGGGTCATAGAGGGTGCTGACTGTGTCTCAAACGGTGTAGATTCAGAAGAGGCAGTCATTGATGTGGAGACTGAGGCTTCCCTCTCGATGGAAGTGGGAACCATTGGAGAATTTACTCTGGATAGTTCTGTGTCCGCTGGGACAGAGGAATGTGTTTCTTGTTCAGAACTGGTGCTCGCACTGGTCACAGCTGTGTGTTTGGAAAGGTGAATTGTTTCTGCATGTGTGGAGGCTCCAGTAGTGGCCAGTATCTCAACTGTGGTGTCGCTCACGTTAGGAGGCGAATGGGCTCTAGGGTCCAAGCTTGTGCCCGACATGTCTGTGGACTTCACCAAGCCAGAAGTCTGAACTGAGGTGACTAGAGAAGGAGAGGAGGAGCCATTGTCATGTTTTGTGGGAGGACCGGAAGACAAAGCATTTGTGATTGGAAGTGATTTCAAGGAAGAAGAGCTGCTGTTTTCCTCAAGGAGAGGACTGGTGCTTTCCACATCCTCAGGACCTTTGCTCACGTCAGTGATCACCTCTGAGTGTGTAAGAGTTTGAGTCCCAGCCAAGTGAGTACTCTCCAAGGAGTCTGTTGTGGATGAGTCCAAGAGAGTTGTTTTCCATGTTGTATCGCCCTGGTGACTTGTTTGTGAGGAGAAGTTCAGTTCTGCGTCTTCTGTAACAATGGGAGCTGTAGAGGGTCTGGGTGCTCCTATGGGTGTGTCTGGGGTCATCGTGGATTGTGGCAGGCCAGAATACAATGTCCCGCTAGAGGAGATGTCTTTTCTCCCAGAGACGTCAGTAGACCCCCCAGTGGGTACTTGGGAGGTGGTGAATGTTTCTGTGGCTGAGCTCATTGGCTGAGAGGTGCTGGTTCTCCTCAGATCAGGCATCATGGAGGAGGAGGACTCTGTCTCAAACCCTGTTGTTGCTCTAGAGGCAGGCATTGGTATGGAAACAAGGGTTTTGGATATGATGGAAGAGGTAAGGACAGGAGAAGTGACTTCCGATGTCCCTGTGTTAGGTGGGACAAAGGAGCGTGTTTCTTGTCCAGAACTGGTGTCCCTCACACCATTGACAGTGGTGTTCCTGGCCAGGTGCATTGCCTCTATGTGTGGGGGGGCTTCAGAAGTGGCCAGTATCTCAACTGTGATATCACTCTCTTTTGGTGTTGAACCGGCTCCAGGATGTAATAGTGAGTCTAATATTTCTGTGGTCTTTATTACAGCAGAGTTGTAAAATGGTGTTTCTAAATGAGAGGAGGAATGACTTCTAGATTTTGTAGAAGATACTGGAGACTGTGATGATTTAATGGGAACATATTCCTTGTATGTAGGGGAGGTTTTATCCAGAAAAGATGGACTTGTGCTTGATAGATTTTCAGGATTTCTCCCCATACGAGTGGTCACTTTCTGGGTTGTCTCCATTTCTGAGATAGCCATTGTATCTTCAAGATTAGTGGAAGTTGTGCCATGAGAAAAATGTGTGTCCACTGTGTTCCCTTTACTAGAGTCAATGAAGAAATTCACTTCAGTTTTCTTTGTAATTAGAGGTGGACTGCTTTGTTGAACACTGATTGTGTTACCTTTAAGGGTTGAGTCAAGGGAGATAGAGGGCACTATGCCCAATGACTTGCTGGCCCCTTTTACAGTCCCCAAATAGGGTTTGAACCCAGCCTTATATGGAAAATGGGAGAGTGAAATAATTTCTTTTCCTGTTGTCCCTTCTGTTGTTGACTTTTCTGAGGCTGTGACTCCTGTGGGCAAGTGAGAGAGGCTGACGCTGCCTCTCCCTGTGGCTGTAGACTGAAGAGTGATAAATTCCACCTTTGTCTCCATGGGGACAGTAGTTGTTGAAGTCTCCCGAAAATTTCCCCCAGTGTAAATAGCCTCTGGGCTGGTGCTGATCTCATTGGAGCTCATAATTTTGAGAGTTGGAGCTTTCTCTGGTCTTCTTGTGGGCATTCCTGTGATTAAAAAGAGAGTTGTTTGGAGATAGGCAAATGGCAACAAGAGGAGTCCTTTTGGTTGACAATATCATTCATTTCCTCCTTGTATTTCAATTTAAATTATTTCCTTCTTTTCTCCCCACCTCAAAGAAAATATTAACCTTCCCATAACACATCTAAGCCTCCCTCTAGACTTCAGGGATATATTTGCATAAGATCTTTGAGTTATCTTGTTTGTTGAGGAGAAATTGTCACCTGGAGCTCAGTCTTCCCCATGCCCTATATATAAGGGCTTTTTGTGCAAGGTCGGATGTGATAAACCTGGACTCTACTCATGCAAGAAGGTTTTTCTACCCCATTTTCACTTCTTCCCTAGGAGCCTGCCTTTGATGAACCAGTTTCAGCTTACAACTTCCAGATCTCCCAAATCTTCACTGCAAATCCACCTAAGGATTTATATTTGAGAAGAAAGAGAACAAGGGAAGGAGATCTTTTTTTTAACCCTCAGGATATTTTGAATTAATCTCTCTCTCTCCAAATCCTTTTCCTATCCTCGTGGAAAAGAACATTTAATTGCCACAGGTTTGAGGAAAGCTCAATTCTCTAAGGGCACTCCCCCTGGGTACTGCCTTTTCACATTTTTCTATCCAACTTGGCATAACCAAAAATCAAGAACCCTTAGTCTACCTTAGTAAAAGGGGCCTATGTCATTGGAAGTCTATCTGTGCCCTCCCTATGAACATAAGATTTCAGAGATGGTCTGCTTTAAAAAGATCCTTCAAGCTGGGGCAAGAGAATGTGCAGAGAAAACTTATTCTGTGGCATTTTCCCTGATAAATTGATTAGATAGTAATAATAAACATTACTAAGTTGAAGCAATAAAAGGGTTTAGTTAATACATTTTAAAAAATAAGTATTAGAGAAGAGTGGCAGGAAGTCAAAGAAACCTATTTCAAACCTAGTTATTTTAATTCCTTAAACAATTCAACTTTTGACCCCAGAGATGAGGAGAAATGACTCAAATGAAATAGCCTTGAAGGAAATCGAGATAATGCTTATACTTACCCAGGCTGACTGTAGTCAAAAGAGATGTGGGGTTACTGGTAGACCTACTGGTGCCTTCATATACTGTGTCACTCAGCTTCATTGACTCATCAGTTCCTGAAGGAGAATGGAAGGGAGGTGTTACCCTTTCATTCCCTCAGAATATGGGTTTATGAGGGACATTCTTGTTTGACACTGGCTTAAAAATGCCCTCACTTGTCTCTGAGAAGGCATTTAAACAATATCTGGCATTTAAAGATTTAAAGGTTTAACTAAAGAATAAATCAGGATGGTGGTGAACAGGACTGGAGTGAGGGTGACTGTTGAGAGTGGGAGTGAGTGTGAGAGAGAATTTGAGTGGACTTGAATGTGGATGAACAATCTTGAGCAGTGCAGAAACGCGGGGCAGAAGGTTCCTGTGCTATGGATGGGGAGCAGCCAGCTATTGCAGTAAGCAGCTCATCAGGGTGCTTCTCCCTGCATGGCCAGAAGGCCCCACCATTTTGGAAGATCTCTGGTCTTTTCTGGGAGGAGGCAGCCAGAGAGACTAGGGCCCAGCGACCTGAGCCCACCAGTGTACCTCACACCATTGAACCAGTGGATCCTGCTGTGTCAATACAGACCAGAGCACAGTAGCAGTGCTGTCAAGGTGCCTGCTGTGAAAGCCACAAGCAGCTGGGAGCCAAGCACCATACCCCACAGCAGCAGCTTGACAAGAGCCGAGACACACCCCAAAAATTAGAGGCTCAGGAGCAGACATCCATCCCCATGCAGCAGCAGCACAGATCACCAGCTGAGACCCATCCCCCACAGCATCAGCAGAGGCTGAAGAGGAGCTGAGCCCTATAAAGGAGCAGTGTTACCCAGGTGCCAATGGTGGGACCTGTGGCTCCTGTGGGGCCCACATGATACAGCTGCCTTTGGCACTGGTGGGGCCCATTGCTCGAGTGGGGCCTATGTGATACAGCTGCCTGTGGCACCAGCAGGACCCACAGCTCCAGCAGCAGTGCATACCAGGACAGACCAATACCAGCAGCCAGTAGTCAATTCTCCAGAACCCACAGAAGGCTAGAGGAGCCATTCACCAGAATAGTCTGGGAGGCACAGCAGCCTTATTTGATACACACTGACCTGCCTACATATCCCAACATCCCTCACTGGGTCTAGAACTACCAGATGGCTAAAATGGGGAGACAAAGAAAAAATACCCAAATGAAAGAAAAGGAGGAATCACCAGAAAAAGAACTATATATAAAAAAAAGAAAGAAATTTGTTAGATAAATAATTCAAAGCAATGATTTTAAGGGTGCTCAAACAATTCAGTGAGAATTACAAGAAATTTAATGAGAATTATAAAGAGCTCAGTGGGAACTATATCAGCTTAAACAAAAGATAGAAGCTATGAATAAAAATCAGGAGAAAATAAAGAATGACATAGCTGATATGAAAAATACCTTAGAAGAATTCAATAGTAGATTAGAAGAAACTGAAGACCGAATCAGTGAGTTAGAAGACAAGGTAGAAAAAACACTCAAATAGAGCAGCAAATGGGGGAAAAAAATTAAAAAACAGGAAAGTTTAAGGGAGAGTGGGATAATACAAAATGTAACAATATTTATATAATAGGGGTACCAGAAGAAGAATCAGAGAAAGGAATAGAGATCCTGTTTAAAGAAATAATGACAGAAAACTTTCCTAATTTGGTAAAGAAAAAAGTCACAAAAGTCTAGGAAACACAGAGAGTCCCACGCAAGAAGAACCCCACAGCTAGACACATCATAATAAAAATGGCAAACATTAAAGACAAAGAAAGAATCTTAAAGGAAGCAAGAAAGAGACAGAAAGTTACCTACAAGAAAGCTCCCATTAGACTGACAGCTGATTTATCAATAGAAACACTGCAGGCCTGAAGGGAACGGCATGAAGTGTACAAGTAATGAAAGGCAAGGGTCTAAATTCAAGACTACTCTATCCAGCAAGGCTATCACTCAAAATTGAAGAAGAAATAAAGAGCCTCATAGAAAAAAAAAAAAAGCTAAAGGAATTTATCACCACCAAACCAGCACTGCAAGAAATGCTAAAGGGACTGCTGTAAGAAAAAGAAGAAATAGAGACAGAAATAGGAACACAGGCATAAAGTAAAAATGGCAATTAATAAGTATTCATCAATAATAACCTTATATGTAAATGGCTTAAATGCCCCAATCAAAAGACATAGGGTAGCTGATTGGATGAGAAAACATGACCCATATATATTCTGTCTACAAGAAACCCACCTCACAACAAAAGACTCACACAGGATGAAAGTGAAGGGATGAAAAAAAATTTTCAGGCAAATGGAAATAAAAAAAAGCTGGTGTGGCAATACTCATATCTGATAAAATAGACTTCAAAATGAAGGCAATAATAAGAGACAAAGAAGGTCACTACATAATATTAAAGGGAACAACCCAACAAGAGGATATAACCCTGGTACACATATATGCACCAAACACCAGAGCACCAAAATATATTTTAAAACTTCTGGAGTACTTTAAAGGAGAGACCAATAGCAATACAACCATAGTGGGTGACTTTAACACCCCACTGACACCACTGGAAAGGTCTTCTAGACAAAATATTAACAAGGACACAGAGTCCTTAAATGGCAAACTACATCAGCTGGACTTTATATATACAGAACATTTCACCCCAAAGCTGCAGAATATATATTCTTCTCAAGTGCACATGGGACATTCTCAAATATAGACCACATGTTAGAGGTAAAGTAAATTTCTAAAAAATTCAAGAAGATTTAAATCATATCAAACATCTTCTCAGATCTCAATGGCATGAAACTAAAAATCAATTACAACAAAAACACACAAACACATTAAAACACATGGAGGCTAAATGGCATGCCATTTATTGTTTAACAGCATGCCATTTAGCCTCCATGTGTTTTAATGTGTTTGTGTGTTTTTGTTGTAATTGATTTTTAGTTTCATGCCATTGAGATCTGAGAAGATGTTTGCCCTGGCCGGTTTGGCTCAGCGGTTAGAGCATCGGCCTGCGGTCCTGAGAGACCGGGGTTTGGTTCCCGCTAAGGGCATGTACCTCGGTTGCAGTTTGTCCCCGGCCCTGGTCGGTCGTGAGGGTGGCAGCCACTCGATGTGTTCTTTTCACATCGATGTTTCTCTCTCTCTCTCTGTTCCTCTCTCTCCCTCCCACTCTACCTGAACAAAATATGGGAAAATGTCCTCGGGTGAGGTTAAAAAACAAACAAACAAACAAACAATAAATGGGTTACCAAGGAGATCCAGGAAGAAATTAAAAACTTCTGGAAACCAATGAAAATGAACACACAACAACACAAAATCTATGGGATATAGCCAAAGCAGTCCTGAAAGGGAAGTTCATAACACTACAGGCCTACCTCAAGAAACAAGAAAAATTCCTAATTGACTTTCTAACCCTACAACTCAAAGAACTAGAAAGTAAACAAAAAGAAACAGCCCAAGCAAATAGAAGGAAAGAAATAGTGAAGGTCAGAGCAGAAATAAATGACAAAAACTAAAAAAAAAAATTCAAAAGACCAATGAAACAAAAAGCTGGTTCCTTGATAAGACAAACAAGATTGATGGACCCTTAGCAGACTCACCTAGAAACAAAAAGAAAAGACCCAAATAAGCAAAATCAGAAACGAAAGAGGAGAAGTAACAACTGACACCACAGAAATATAAAGGATCATTAAAACATACTACGAACAATTATATGCCAACAAATTGGACAATCTAGGCAAAATGAACAAATTTGTAGAAACACACATTCTCCAAAAACTCAACCGGGAAGAGATAGAAAACTTGAATAGAATATACAACTAAGGAAATTAAAGATGTAATCAAGAAACAAAAGTTGAGACCTGGAGGGCTTCACAGGGGAGTTTTAACAAACATTAATTTTTTAATTATTATTATTTTCTTTATTGATATTAGAGAGTGAGAGAGAAAGGGGGAGAGAGAGAGATAGAAACATCAATAAGAGAAAACATTGATTGGATGCCTCCTGCATGCCCCCCACTGAAGATCAGGCCCACAACGTGTGCATGTGCCCTGACTGGAAATTGAATCTGTGACCTCTTGGTGCATGGGTCGATTCTCAACCACTGAGCCACACTGGCCAGGCTGAACATTCAAAAAGATCTAACATCCATTCTCCTCAAACTATTCCCCAAAAATCCAAGAAGATGGAAGACTTCCAAACTCATTTTAGGAGGCCAACATAATTCTAATTTCAAAACCAGATAAAGACACTACAAAGAATGAAAACTACAGGCCAATATCCCTGATGAACACAGATGCTAAAATCCTTAACAAAATATAAGCAAATTGGATCCAGCAATACATAAAAAAATTATTCATCATGACCAAGTGGGATTCATCCCAGGATACAAGGATGTACAATATCCACAAATCAATAAATGCAATATACCACATTAACAAAATGAAAGATAAAAACCATATGATCATATCAATATATGCTGAAAAAGTATTCAACAAAATCAAGCACCCATTTTTGATAAAAATGTAATGCAATGTGGGAATAGAGGGATCATATCTTGACATAATAAAGGTCAAATATTAACCAACATCATACTCGATGGGCAAAAGCTACAAGCATTTCCCTTAAGAACAGGAACCAGACAGGGATGTCCACTCTTACCATTCTTACTTAACATACTACTAGAAGTCTTAGCCACAGCTATTGGACATGAAGAAAACACAAAAGAAATAAAAATTGGAAAGGAGGAAGTAAAACTGACATTATTTGCAGATGACATGATACTGTACATAAAACCCTAAAGATTCTATCAAAAATGTACTAGATTTAATAAATGAATTTGGCAAAGTAGCAGGATACAAAATTAATGTAAAGAAATAGACCGCATTCTTCTACACCAACAACAAAGTCAATGAAAGAGAAACTAAAAAAGCAATCCAATTAACCATTGTGGTAAAAAATCTAAGATACCTAGTAATGAACTTAACCAAAGAAGAAAAGGACCTATTCGCAGAAAACTACAGGTCACTGAAAAAAGAAATAGAGGAAGATATAGAAAAGTGAAAGCATACACCTTGTTCATGGATTGGAAGAATTAACATTATTAACATTTCCACACTACCCAAAGCAATATATAGATGCAATGCAATCCCCATCAAAATATCAACGACATATTTCACAGAACTAGAACAAATACTCCAAAAGT